CTTAAGTAAAATCAGCTTGTCTCTCCTTCTAGGACTTTTCCTGAATCCCTTCCTTACCTTAGTGCAGTGTAGCACTTTGACCTCACACAGTATTGTGCTTGTTTTTGCGCTAGTCTCTGCTGAGTATTCTTGATTCATGTGTAAATCTGTCTGTTCTAGAGTTTCTTGAGGATAGGAACTAAATACTTTGATTAGGTAAATGACTTTAGAGACTGAAAAAGTTTTTTAAACTATTTCTTGACTATGTTTTTGAAAGAATATGCAGATTATATATAAAACAGTTCTGATTTTAGTAGGCTTGACTCTGATATTAGTGCTAACCTAGTAGCAACTAAAGAGGATAAACGTTTGATATGTATTTAGTATAGTAAAGGTAATACAAATTACATAATGGTCTTTTTTTCCCCTTTAAATCAAGTTGATAGAGATGTCATTTAAATGTAATAAAATGTAGCTATTTTAAGTGTATAGTTTACTGAGCTTTAACAAACATACTTATCCTTATAACTACTACTATGGTAAAGATACAGAACATTTCTAGAAAAAACAATCTGAAAATTCATAGGAAACAGCAAAGGACCCTGAATAACCAAGGCAGTCTTGAACAAAAAGGAACAAAGCTGGAGGTATCACAATACCTGACCTCAAAACATATCCCAAAGCTGTGGTAATTCAAACAGCATGATGTGGCATCCAAATCAACACATAGACCAGTGTCTATAACAGAATGAAGAACCCATACATCTAAAATAAACAAATGAAATAAATATCTGAAATAAATCTGCACATCTACAATATACACAGTCTCCAAAAATATATAATGGAGAGAGGACAGTATCTTTAATACATTTTGCTGGAAAAACTAGATACCCATGTGCAAAAGAGAGAAATTAGACCCTTATCTCTTACCATGGGATAAAACCAACTCACCGTGGATCAAAGACCTAAATGTAAGACCTGCAACTGTGAAACTGCTAAAAGAAAACATGGGTAAAACACTTTTAAGACAATATAGAGAATGATTTTGGGAGATAAGTTTCCAAAAGTATGGGCAATGAAACCAAAAATAGATACATGGGATTATATCAACCTAGGAAGTTGCTGCACAGAAAAATAAATAATCAAAAGTGGAAACAAACTGCAGAATGGGAGAAAACTGCAAACTTCCCAACAAGGGATTAATATCCAAAGTAGCAACAGTAGTTTTGCAAGTTAAGCCCTGAAATTCAGAATAATTAAAATTACTTGTAATATGTCCATTTGTAAAACTTGCCTATTCACATTGAAAGTATTTCACATTCCAATCAAAATTTTACACATGAAAAAAAATCACTTAAGAGGCTGTCCTCCTAGTATGTTTATTAGTGATTTTGTGCTCACTAATGCAGATATAGCCAAGCATGTGCAGGTAAGGTATTTACAGTATGATTCTACAGCTTTGAAAGCCTGAAAAGTGACTTATCAAATTTGCTAGATCAGTTAAAATTTTTATAAGTTAATGAAGCATCTTACAGTAAGTTTTAGATGTGTTGTACTCTTTGATCTTGTTCAGCCAGTTACAACTACCTAACAAGACCCGGTCTCGAAAAGAAAACTGTATTTCATATTAGTCTTCTGTTACCTATGACTGGTTAATAACAGTTCAAGATATTTTTAATAAATTGGATTACTATCATGAGTAGATTTTGTTTAAATTAGGTGTGTTTTCAGGTTGTCAAAGTCTTTTTTGGTCTGGGGATTTAGCTCTGTGCCGCCACCTATGTGCCACTTCCTGCCTCACAAGTACAACGTCCTAAGTTCCATCTCTGGTACCAGAAATGAAGTTTTTTTGTTGTTTTGTTTTGTTTTTTGTACCAGGGATCAAACTTGGGTCTTTGAGCTTGGGAGGCAGACGGCAGAGCCACTGAGCCAAATCCCCTGCCCCAAAAAGTCTTTTTAAATATTATTTTAACTTCTGAAATTTTAATAAATCACAGTTCAAAAGAACTCAAGATTCTTTTTATTGTATAATCAATGAAGTTTAAGAGAAATTATTTTATGTTATGTTTTTAACTCCCTGTTTTTCTGCTCTTAGTACTGGGTGAACCCCAGTCATTTACTCATTTTTGGAGAGTCATTTACACAAACATTTGTATCTCTTATCTGCTACTAACAAACTAACTTTGAGGTTCGGTCAGCCTTAGGTTTCTTCAAGTGCAAAATGGGGTAATGTAGTATCTGTAAAACTTGAAATGAGGAAGAAAAATTATCGCACTGCTGTTACTGTGCCTTTACACACTATAAACTCAATTAATGACTCTTTACCTTCCTTTTTCTCTCTTATGTACTTTTTTGAAAGGAGAAGTTAAATTTGCTCTCTCCACTGAACTCATTTCAGGTGATTATGTTCAGCTTGTTCTCATGACTGGTGTTATATAGGTCAGAAAGGAGGTCTTCATGCCAACTTCCTTTGACTTCCCAGAAAAAGTTTGTAGACTTCTAGAGTAGAAGGTCTCCCATCTAGTTTTCATTTCCTTTTTCTTTTTTTTTTAAGTGATTTTCTAGGCCCACTTGTAACTCTTAAGAGTTGGAAACTTTCTTTCTTTCTTTCTTTTTTTTTTTGGTACTGAGGATTGAACTCGGGACCTTGCACTTGCGAGGTAAGCAGTGGAACTACTGAGCAAAATCCCTGGCCCAAGTTATATGCATTTTTTAATTGTTCCTCAGTGTCTTGTTTTAACTGGTTTATCATTAGATATCACTAATGAATAATTGCTTTTTCCTTGTCTGAAGAAGACTTTGATACTCTTTAGTGTTTGATTTGTAGGCGGTTCTTATATTTCTTCTACTTTGTAATATAAGTTGAATTCTCTGCTGGCCATCCTGAGGGAGAACTTCATCTTAATACTTTTTTAAATAATAAGGAAGAATTTTTAAATAATTCTAATTGAATGTTAAGAGAAAAATTAAACATGGAGCATACAAAAATAATAGGATGTCTATGCTAGGCCATTTTACATTTTCACCAGCAGCACTGAGAGTTGTTCTACACTGGTTCGGTTATTCTGTGTCTTGGCTGAGGCATGGTATGCAAAATCCTTTAATTTTAGCCTTGCTATTTGATATGTAGTGATATCCTGTAGACTTAACTAAGGTTTCCATGATAATTTAAAGGTGTTGAAAAGCTCTATGTGTGTGTATTTACTGTCTTTATGTTGTCTTTGGTGAAGTGTCTATATCTTTTTTAATTGGTTATTATCTTTATTTTTGGTTGACACATTGTAGTTACTCATTATGGGACACCCTGTAACATTTTGATACAAGTATGCATGAGTAATAAGCATGGCTATTGGCACTACTGGAGACATCATTTCTTCCTGTTGAATATATTCAGTATCTTTTCTGCTAGTTATTTTGAAATACTTGTCAACCATATTTAATCCTACTGCAACACAGAACTTTAGATGCTCTTCTTGCCAGCTGCACCCCTATACCCATATACCATCTCTCTCCATCCCTCCTAATCTGCATACCCTTGCCAGGGTCTGATAATCACTGTTGTGTTCCCTGTTTTTTCGAGATCGGTGTTTTCATTTCCACATGTAAGTGAAAAGGTGCTGTACATACCTTTCTATGCCTAACTTATTTTACTTAACATAGTGTCCTCTAGGACTGTCTGTATTGCTGTAATTGACAGAATTTTATTCTTTTTATGGCTAAATAATACTCCATTGTGTATATTTACCACATTTTAAAATCTGTGTGTCTGTCAGTGGGCATCTAGGTTGAGTCCATATCTTGGCTAGTGTGAACAGTGCCTCAATGAAACTGTCAGTGCAAATGTCCCTTCTGAATTATAAGAGTCTATGTATTTGCAGAATATGCTTTCAAACCTCAGGTGTAATTTGTCTTTCTTGGCATTTTCTCGAGTATCTTTTTAAGAACAACTATTTAAGATTTTTTATGAAGTTCTTGGAGGTTTAATGGAGTCTAGAGAATTAGAACCAACAAAAATTATAGACATTCTCACCCTGCCCAGAATGGTTATAGAATTATCCTGGATATTCACTGGTTGCCACTGCAAGTTAAGTACTTGTGATTGCATTACTGTCCATCTTTGCAGTGTCCTTTAATTATAAATAGTGTAATATGTCATTAAACTTGTTTTATACTAGGTCATAGGGTTTCTTCAAAGTGCTCATTTTTAGTATTTAAGGTTCCTTCCGGACACCTGTTTTATACCACCTTTGTCCAGTGCCTAGTATAGTAATGTTTTTGCCTTCTATAGTTGTACTTTTTTAAGTACACAAATAGGTGGTTCCATTGTAGCAGGAAATCTTTTGTTCTTTGTATCCTCCGTAAGTCACAGTATTGTTCCTGATACACAGGGGACACTCACTGTGACTGAATGGGATTAATGACAATAGTACTTGAGTAAGGTTCTCCTAGTTAACATATTGATAATATAATTTTCGGCTATACCTTACTAAGTGAATAAAAGATACTCTCATTTCATATGTGATCATTGTAAATCGAGTACATTTTTCTAGATAAAACCAAGATACATGATTTTTCTTTCAATTTTTATTGTGTTTCATTTGTTGGGGATCAAGCCTAGGACCTCATGCATTTTTTTTAACCTGTTTTAAACTAGCACACACACTATGATCACAGCAATGTGAAGTCAGCTTGAGTATAGCTTTTGCAGCTATACAATCACTTTTAGATCCACTGGGAAAAGGGAACTCTAGAGGGTTACTTGAGTCTTTTTACTGATTTTTTTTTTTTTTTTATGAACCAGACTTAACATTATTATCATCATTAAAGTCTGCCTAGGGCATATGGTGTAGAATCTGTAGTCAGTTATGGTTTTAAAGTATACCACAAAGTGCACTATTTGCTGTTGTATGTTTTTACTTTGCAGTTTTTTTTCTGTGAAACTAGTGCATTAAAATGTAAAGACTATATATGTAAATGTGTTGGATAAAGATGGCATTATGTAATTTTTTTTCTTTGTCTAGGTCCTTGGAACACCAACAAGGGAGCAAATTAGAGAAATGAACCCAAACTACACAGAATTCAAATTCCCTCAAATTAAGGCACATCCTTGGACAAAAGTGAGTGAAAATTTCTTTTTTTTAAGAAAGCACAAACTTGGGTTTCTCCGTGTTCTTAGACTATTTGGAGACCATAATAAGTGCCCGGATATAAATGTCTAGCAGTTCTTCACACAAAGAGAGTTGAATAGTTGTACTTCCATGCTGCATTAATTGTATATAGTTTTGTTCCTATTGAATTCCTGTGGAGTTTCGAGCCTGGGCCTTCATTTGCTTGCATGGTAAGGTACCAGTATCATTAAAATACTGGGGCACAGGATCTTATATATAAACTTTGACAACTTAAAATTCATATGTTTATTTACATAAAGGTGCATTATTCGTTATCCATATTCTTTTATGTATATTTTTTCTTCCCCTGCTTACTTTCTTATTGATATTTTGGGAGCATTATTGAAAAGCAAATAGAATCTTTCTGGGAGTATATATGGAAAGCATTTCTAGGGTATCACCAGCCCTTATCGTTAGAGGGAACCAGTTCTAAAAAGTACAATTATGAATTTATAAAAAGATGGTTTTTGTTTTGGTACTTAATCAAAATATTTTTAAGAAATATTTTATTTAAAAGTTTTCAACTCAGTTTGACCTGTCAATTTTGTGATTGAGTGTGCAGAGAAAACAGGTTATCCAAGATGACATAGGTGGCTTGTGACAATGACAGGATTAAATTTCTCAGTATATGTGCACATATGTTTAGTACTGACTCTCTGAAGCTTCCAGTCATGTGCCAAACACTGTTTATTGTCTTCTTATATATTTTTTGGGGGTTAGAATGGTCAACTTTCTACTGACATGATTTAGGCAGAGATATTCTGTATTTTAAATGACCACATAACTTTTTTCTGGGAATCAAGAAATTAATTTAATTGTTTCAGATAATTTATAATAACCAATGAAATAACTTAGGGCTATAGATGAAGTAATTGACCCTTCTTAGAATCAAAGTGTGCCTGCCCGCACTCAACTGTTAACTTTCGTTGAAGTTCTTACTTTCTCATTATATCTCTTCATAAAATCTCATTACTAATTATTATTTCCTTTTGAAACAAAAACTTCAGTAGTATTTTAATGCCAGAATTACAGGACTTCACTGACCAAGATACCAACGTGTTCTTCCCTTTCTTTTAGAAATTTCTGATAAATATTAAATGATCTTCAATAAAAATATTGTTGGATTTTTGTACTTAAGATTTATTTTGAATCTGAGTCAGGAGATATTTAGGGGCTCTCACTTGGCTCTAACCCAGAAAATCCCAGGTAGCTTATTTTGGATTTAATTTGAATCCATTAAAGTTATTACAAGTTAAAAGTGTTAAAATAAGTGATTTATAGTATACTATGATTTCAGCCAGATTAAGAAGAAAGTAACAGAACTCTGTGCAATGAGTAAATAAGGAAATATGCCAAAGTGCTTAGATTTTAGTAAGAGGAGTATGATTTATTTTCTGTTTTACCTATCAATATTTCCATTGTTTCTTTAATATTTTTATGAAGCAAAAAGACAAGAAAAGCTCTGTCTCTCTTTTTTTTTTTTTTGGTATAATCAAAGTATTCAGCAGATTATATCCTCCATATATGTATGTATGGAAGATGCTAAGGTCATGAAATCCTGTTTAACAAACCCTGTCCTCATTTTTAAAAAAAAAATCAACATTAGTGTATGTCATAGCTGGCATTTTTCCTTTGGATTACCTCTTGACATTGGAAGTATTAGCCAGAGTAGAATGTGAGAAATGATTGATTAAAATTCAGCTAGCGGAACAGCTATGATGAATTTGTATGCTTTAAATTTTCCTTTCACTTTCTTGGATTCCTGATGTTTCTGTAATATTCTAATATTATTCAAACTTGAATAATTTATATAAAGCCCCTCTACTTATATTTCACTCCTGTACCATGTGTAGAATAATGATTTTGTTCTACCTTTTCTGTTAGAATTACTGTGAACATTTCATTCATATACAAGTGTCCTTTAACATAATTTGGTTTTCATTTCATTCGTGTTAATTTCTCGGTACACATATTCAGGTGGTGCACATAAATTCCATGATCAAAATATGGTTTTGTTAATTTTTTTAAAATAGATTATTATGAAATGCAAAATAGAAGATTGCTAGAGGTGGTTCAATTCCCTTTCTCTCCCTTCCCCCATTATGATGGTGGACAGCAACTTGAAAAATGCTGTCTTATGCTGGGCAGCCAGTAGAATAATTTAAAAATACAGCATAATCAGGAAAGGCTAGATCATCTTGCCATTAGCATCTGGTAAGTAGGAGTCAAAATCAAGAATGAATCCCCCCACTTTTTTCTCGGTGTCTTCCATTTAGAACCCACTTCAGTTCCATTTCCCAAAGCTGTGGTATGTGAATGTGAACTCTGGTCTCCTCAGCCACCATGTAGTGCAGCTAGATCCCTGGGATTGGTAGCTTCTCAAAAAAGCAGTCAGAAATAAAGATTAAGGGAAAAAATATCTTCTGTGAAAATACATAACAAGGTGAAGTGATAACAGATATGTGGGAAAGATAGAGGAAAAACAAAAACATTGAGATGGTCCCAGAGTGATGTATGGCAGGAATCCATTAAGTTGCCCTTGACTACTCCATAATAGCTGGTGCGACCTAATTCAGTAATAGTGGCTTGAAGTAGGGAGAGAAGTAGGTGCTCATGGTTTTAAGCAGGGATTATTATGGGATGTGGGAGAACATAGGCCCTCTACATTGATGTATGTAGTACATTTCAAAGAAGGAAACCAGATTGAAAATAAAAGGAAGTGAGGTAAAAGTAGATTGAGAATTAAGTAGAGCCAGAGGTGAAGAAACTTAAATTCTGCAGTTAGAATGTGAAGGCTGAGACGGGTATTTAGCTCAGTGGTTCAGTGGCCTGCCTTGCAAGGACCCGAGTTCGATCCCCGGTACCAAAAAAAAAAAGAATGTGAAGGCTAGGTTGGGTGACAAGACTGTAAGAAATGAACTGAGGGACTACACACTGTTGCTGTTAATGTTTATGCCTCAGCTTTTTTCTTTTGTAAGGTAGTGATTATCTCCTACATCTTTTCTTCTGGTTCTTTTGAAAATGCAGATATGCTTATAAAGGATTATTTTATTTTAGCTCTAAGAAAATGTGAAAGTTCTACATCAACATAATCTTCTGATTTGTCCTCTTCTTCTTCTCCCCCCACCCTTTTTCCTTCTTCCTTTTTTCTTTTTTCTTTTTTTCTTGTCTCCATAGCCCTAACTATAGTTTAGGACATTGTCATGTAATCGAATTGTCAAAGAGTCTACCACCTCCTAATTTTATCTCTTCAGTTTCATATCATTTCAGTCCATTGCTATCAAAGTTAGCTTTTTAAAAATGTGTATGGGAGCTGGGTGTAATGACACTTGCATGTAATCTCAGTCCTTGGGAGGCTAAGGTGGGAGGATTGAGTTCAAGACCATCCTGGATTGTGAGCGAGAGCCTGTCTCAGAAAAACAAATAAAAGCATATGTGATAATGTCATTTCTGTTTTAAATTATTCTTTGAATCCTCATAGTCTTTAGGAAAATGTGGCATAAAATACATAAAATGACAAGACAGGTTCTATGTCCTGATTCATAATGTTCTCATTTCAGTGTAATTCATTACTCTCAAAAGTACTCCAGTTTGGATGACAGATTATTCAGTCACTCTGTTCTTGATCTTTTCTACCTTTCCTTTACAGAAACATGTTTTAATTCTTGCCTTCTTGCTAGCCTTCCCTAGGGTATTTCATTGCTTGAAACTAGTCATTTTCCCAAGGCCTCCAGCTTTCTTCCTCTTTAAAGGCGTATTATTAGAAAATTAATTTTAAAGTTTATATTTAGCTAGATTAGGAATTTTTAATAAGGTTATTATGTAGTAGTACGGGGTTTTTGGTTTTCCTTGTTTTGAGTACCTAATCTTGCTATCTTTTTGTTTAAATTTCAGTGAGACAAATATTCCCACTTTATCCTTTTAATAAATAACCCTGTAAGATCAGTTAAGTAACACAGATGTCTGCATATTTTCTCTCAGTATCAGAGGTCTTAAGTGATACGACTGGTGTTTTAGGAGGAAATAGATTAGAATCCCAAGGGCCCTGATCTCCAGTCATTGTAGGGCTACTTAGTATGTTAGCCATATATGAGAGTATTGTTCAGTGGTTAGCTTATATTAAAAGACATTGCAGTCATGTGGAATTTTCTGATGTAATCCAACTTTTTCCTAAGTGACCTTGGGAAGCCATATTTATTTCTATCTCTTGCCATTTTGTTCTCCATCCTACTTAGAATTCTCTTCTTTCTCTTTTCTGTTCACCAAGCCTTACTCTTTCTGAAGATCTCAAGGTCTCACTTATCCCGTGGATTTTTTTTTTTTTTAATTTGATACCAGGGATCAAACTGAAGACCTGTGCTTGCTAGGCAGGCGCTGTGCTGTTGAGCTAAATCCCAGCCCTATCCATGAAATATTTTCTTATTCTCCAAGTTTTTCATGATCACTGCGTTCCCATTATATAACTGTTGTATTATCTACTAAGTTACACTATTTATATTACAGCAGTTCCTAATTTCTCTTTTTACAATGATAATATAGGTATGAATTACTTTAAAATATTTGCTAAGTTTTAGGTCTGTAGTTTATGGTTCTTAGAAAGCATTATCCACAAAAATTAATCCTGCATACTTAATTTCTTAGAATACTATTGACATGCTTTAATGTGAATGAATACTAATATTCCCAACTGGCTAACAGAGTGAGCAAAAAATTGATTTGTGAGGTCTGTTTTAACTATCAAAGTAATCGCTTTAGACTTATTTTAACATTTTCTTCATACTCTTCCATGTTTTTCCCCTGACCCTTTAAATACAAGATTTTTCAGAATTTGTGCATTTATCTGTTTAACTGTTTTTCATTACATTACCAAAAATGCCTACAGAGAATCCTGGAAAGCACAAAATCAAGATTGCTGTTCAACTTTTCTTGCGTATCTCCTGTATCTAAATTTTTTGGTTTCTCTCTTTTGCTCATTTCATTTGCATAGATTCCGAAAACATAAAACCATGTTTCAGATTTCTTTGGGCTCCTAAGATTGCCCTGTAACCTATTTTGTTGTATTGTTTATGGTAAACCATGTTTTATATAATTATTCAACTTCCTCTGACCTGGACAGTGATCCATTATCATTCATTTCCTGGATACATATAATATGTCCTCTACTGAAATTTCTACCTGCATCTTTATTAGTGCTAGAGTAATTACTTCCTCCCCTTTTGTAATATCCATTTTCCTATGTGCATGGACTTTCTCTAAAGATTGTTTATTGGGGACAGAGATGGGATTAAGGATAGACTGAAAAAGAACACAAAAATCTAATTTATCATTTGTTCTTTAAATCTTGTGTGTTCTGTGTAATCATTACTGTGCTAGGTATCATAAGGTATACAAAAGTAAAATACATAGTTCTTGTCCTTGAAGAGCTCAGTCAATGCAAGTATTGAATAATGTAAAGTATTATATAACTGTATGCTTGATAACATAATAGTTCAAAGGTTTTCCACATTCTTGTAGGAGTTACAAAGTGGATCTTTAGTGAAGATGTTGGAGGGGAAAAAGGAAGTCTCCTTAAAGATGGCAGAGGAGGTAGGCTGTTGAAAAGAGAATTAGGATTTAAAAAGATACAGAAAAAGGTTAGGAATTATAGTCTAGTTAAATATTGCTTAAGTAGGAAGATGTGGATGAAAGAAAATACTGTATTCATGTATTCTTGGGAAAGCCATCCTAACTCCAGTAACTTATTTTGTTAACAATAAGATTAAATTTGTTAAGTGGAAATTTGGTAAATCCCATGTAATATGTAGGCCTGTAGTACTATTCCATCAGTGAATGATTTAGGAGAAAGTGCATTGCATAGTTAAATACTGATGTCTACATATAATTTTCTTATGTGTAGTAGAATTCAGAAAACTCAACTAGCTTTTGAATTAGTGCAACTGAAATTCATGGAATACTCTGTCATGGCTAAAGAAAATACAGTATACTTTGTGATTCTTATTCTTGACTTTCCTTACCTAAAGGTGGAACTACTATCATCAGAAGTTAGAAAAATATATCTCTTGAATAGGCTTGCAGTATATTCAGTTTGCATACCCACCTCATTAGAAGCTAACTTCAAACATACCTGCGTGGCTTGTGTACTCTCTGAAAGTCAGTTTTCAGTAGCTGCTGGATATCCTTTTTTGATAATATTAAAATGAATTGTTACCTCATGTCACTGCATCATTAGATCAATGTAAAACATTTCCAAAATGTTTTTAAAATAGCATAGACCAGTTAATTATTGACTTATATATAAGCACTTTGAAATACTTGATTTCTTTTCTTACTGAAAGTTCAGCTATTCAACAGGTCCATGACACTGTATCATTTTAGATGATTATTAGGTTACCTGAGAGCCAACTTTGTATTGTACTTTAGGAATATTGATGGTTTATTCATTTTATAAACTGGGTGCTTATATTTTGTTTATGACCAGAAAGCAGTGTCACTGTTGTAAATTTATTATGAAACTAGTAAAGAGTAGCTGTTTGGAACCATTACAACACTTACTCTGTGTTCCTTAAATTCATTACCACTGTCTTTAGCTATAAAATGTTACCATTTTTACATTGCTCTGATGTGGCTGCGTAATACAGCACAGTTGGCTAAAGTTTGAGAAGCAGCTTAACTATGGGCTTGATGTGAGATTTTTTTTTTTATACACAACCATTTTTAAAGGGCTGAGATTCAGTCTTAAAAGTTCCAATTTGAACTTTGATGGCCATAGTCTGTTTTAGGACATATAGAAAGAAAATAAGCAGTGTCGTTTTTTGGGTCATCCAAATGCAAATGTATTTTGAATAATTGTTTAAGGATTTGTTTGCATTTGTTCAATACCATAGACTTTGGTTGGAGATA